TCACCACGTTGTCAGGCTGACCTAGGAGTATAAAATTCAATAAAAAGTGAAAAAAATGATATTTCTTCTGAATCTTGAGTCTAGATGTATACAATGTGTGCTCACAGTCATACCACATTGTGTGGGTCCCATGTGATGTGTACAATGTGTGGTCACAGTCATACCACATTGTGTGGGTCCCATGTGATGTATACAATGTGGTCACAGTCATACCACATTGTGTGGGTCCCATGTGATGTGTACAATGTGTGGTCACAGTCATACCACATTGTGTGGGTCCCATGTAATGTGTACAATGTGTAGTCACAGTCATACCACATTGTGTGCGTCCCATGTGATGTATACAATGTGTAGTCACAGTCATACCACATTGTGTGGGTCCCATGTGATGTATACAATGTGGTCACAGTCATACCACATTGTGTGGGTCCCATGTGATGTGTACAATGTGTGGTCACAGTCATACCACATTGTGTGCGTCCCATGTGATGTATACAATGTGTAGTCACAGTCATACCACATTGTGTGGGTCCCATGTGATGTATACAATGTGGTCACAGTCATACCACATTGTGTGGGTCCCATGTGATGTGTACAATGTGTGGTCACAGTCATACCACATTGTGTGGGTCCCATGTAATGTGTACAATGTGTAGTCACAGTCATACCACATTGTGTAGGTCCCATGTGATGTATACAATGTGGTCACAGTCATACAACATTGTGTGGGTCCCATGTGATGTGTACAATGTGTAGTCACAGTCATACCACATTGTGTAGGTCCCATGTGATGTGTACAAAGTGTGGTCACAGTCGTACCACATTGCATGGTCACAGTCATACCACATTGTGTGGGTCCCATGTGATGTATACATTGCGTGGTCACAGTCATACCACATTGTGTGGGTCCCATGTGATGTGAACAATGTGTAGTCACAGTCATACCACATTGTGTGGGTCCCATGTGATGTGAACAATGTGTGGTCACAGTCATACCACATTGTGTGCGTCCCATGTGATGTATACATTGTGTGGTCACAGTCATACCATATCGTGTGGGTCCCATGTAATGTATATAATGTGTAGTCACAGTCATACCACATTGTGTGGGTCCCATGTGATGTGCAACAATGTGTGGTCACAGTCATGCCACATTGTGTGGGTCCCATGTGATGTATACATTGTGTAGTCACAGTCATATAACATTGTGTGGGTCCCATGTGATGTGTACAATGTGTGGTCACAGTCATACAACATTGTGTAGGTCCCATGTGATATATACATTGTGTGGTCACAGTCATACCACATTGTGTGGGTCCCATGTAATGTGTACAATGTGTAGTCACAGTCATACCACATTGTGTGCGTCCCATGTGATGTATACAATGTGGTCACAGTCATACCACATTGTGTGGGTCCCATGTGATGTGTACAATGTGTGGTCACAGTCATACCACATTGTGTGGGTCCCATGTAATGTGTACAATGTGTAGTCACAGTCATACCACATTGTGTGCGTCCCATGTGATGTATACAATGTGGTCACAGTCATACCACATTGTGTAGGTCCCATGTGATGTGTACAAAGTGTGGTCACAGTCGTACCACATTGCGTGGTCACAGTCATACCACATTGTGTGGGTCCCATGTGATGTATACATTGCGTGGTCACAGTCATACCACATTGTGTGGGTCCCATGTGATGTGTACAATGTGTAGTCACAGTCATACCACATTGTGTGGGTCCCATGTGATGTGTACAATGTGTGGTCACAGTCATACCACATTGTGTGGGTCCCATGTAATGTGTACAATGTGTAGTCACAGTCATACCACATTGTGTGGGTCCCATGTGATGTGTACAATGTGTAGTCACAGTCATACCACATTGTGTGGGTCCCATGTGATGTGAACAATGTGTGGTCACAGTCATACCACATTGTGTGCGTCCCATGTGATGTATACATTGTGTGGTCACAGTCATACCACATCGTGTGGGTCCCATGTAATGTATATAATGTGTAGTCACAGTCATACCACATTGTGTGGGTCCCATGTGATGTATACATTGTGTGGTCAGTCATACCACATTGTGTGGGTCCCATGTAATGTGTACAAAGTGTGGTCACAGTCATACCACATTGTGTAGGTCCCATGTAATGTATACAATGTGTGGTCACTGTCATACCACATTGTGTTGGTCCCGTGTAATGTATATAATGTGTAGTCACAGTCATACCACATTGTGTGGGTCCCATGTGATGTGTACAATGTGTGGTAACAGTCATACCACTTTGTGTAGTTTCCATGTAATGTATACAATGTGTAGTAACAGTCATACCACATTGTGTGGGTCCCATGTGATGTGAACAATGTGTGGTCACAGTCATACCACATTGTGTGCATCCCATGTGATGTATACAATGTGTGGTCACAGTCATACCACATTGTGTGGGTCCCATGTGATGTAAACAATGTGTGGTCACAGTCATACCACATTGTGTGGGTCCCATGTGATGTGAACAATGTGTGGTCAGTCATACCACATTGTGTGCATCCCATGTGATGTATACAAATGTGTGGTCACATTCATACCACATTGTGTGGGTCCCATGTGATGTGTACAATGTGTGGTCACAGTCATACCACATTGTGTGGGTCCCATGTAATGTATACAATGTGTGGTCACAGTCATACCACATTGTGTGGGTCCCATGTGATGTGTACAAAGTGTGGTCACAGTCATACCACATTGTGTGGTCCCATGTAATGTATACAATGTGTGGTCACATTCAGACCACATTATGTGGGTCCCATGTGATGTGTACAATGTGTAGTCACAGTCATACCACATTTTGTGGGTCCCATGTGATGTGTACAAAGTGTGGTCACAGTCATACCACATTGTGTAGGTCCCATGTGATGTGTACAAAGTGTGGTCAGTCATACCACATTGTGTGGGTCCCATGTAATGTATACAATGTGTAGTCACAGTCATACCACATTGTGTAGGTCCCATGTGATGTGTACAAAGTGTGGTCAGTCATACCACATTGTGTGGGTCCCATGTAATGTATACAATGTGTAGTCACAGTCATACCACATTGTGTAGGTCCCATGTGATGTGTACAAAGTGTGGTCAGTCATACCACATTGTGTGGGTCCCATGTAATGTATACAATGTGTGGTCACAGTCATACCACATTGTGTGGGTCCCATGTAATGTATACAATGTGTAGTCACAGTCATACAGCTATTGGCCATCTATGTGTACTGTT